TGTGGTACCTGACTTTCTACGCATTAGACCAGGGGCCAGGAAACTATGATCCTTGAGCTAAGAGTGAATTTCACATTTTCCAAGGGCTGTAAGGAAAATACAAATATGTGGCTCACAAAGCTTAGTATGTTTCTTATCTAACTCTTTACCCAAAGAAAAAAATGTGTGATTCCTCACTTTGAGCTAGAAGAAATTTATATTTAAAAGATTTCCACCATTACAGCCTTCTGCAGAAAGAAAAGACGGTATAGTGACTGAGAAGGTAGCATCTTCCTTATTATTACCACTGGCAGCAAGAGGCTGGTGTCTGGTGGTAAAATCTTCTCTTGATGGTGACTCATGTACGAGTTTATTTTAAGGCCTCTTCCTCCATGTTAAAGACACCTGCTACATACAGAAGCTTGATACTGAACAAACTGTCTACCTACTTTGCAAAGATTGTATATTTTGCAGTGATGAACACCATTTAAAATTCAGTTTTATACCTCAGGCAGTCTCTGGATTACGATTGAATTATGTTCCTAAAATTGTCTTTAAGTTGAATTTGTACGTAAGTTGGAAGAGCTAGATACACTTTGAATCTAACATCAGTCAGTCAAATGTTAATATATAATATGTATTTCTGTGCATAAAAATCATTAAAGAAACATTTCCAGATATATAAAACAATCATAACATAATAAAACAGTAATAATAATAATGACAAAGTAGCACCCACTTGTTATTATGAACTGTTTGTTGTATGTACCTTGAATTTTTTGTGTAATGGCCTCTATGGGGTTTGTAACTATGGAGTTTATGTGAGTGGGAATGACGTTTGTAAGCTGGGGGTTGCATGTGTGTATACATGAGTTAGTTTTTAGATAGAGCTTAATTTAAAAAACTTTTTCAAGCCATTTAAATTTTGAACTGTGAATGTGCAGATTAATTTTATATTGACTTTTCTATTTTGCAGGATGATTGTCTTCTGAAAGTATGGTATCCTATGACTGGTTGGAAGTCTTCAATTATACCTCAGGATCATCTTGAAGTGAAAAGGAGGCAGGCGTGTACTCAGTTTTCCTTTGTTTATTTGGCACATCCCCGAGCTGTGACAGGTTTTTCATGGCGTAAAACTAGCAAGTATATGCCCAGGTTAGACAAATGTATCATATAACTTCAGTTTGTATGCTTATATGTTTGTGAAAACAATGAAATTAAAGTCCTTTTACTGAATTGATATGGTGGTGATTAAGAATGTAGGCTCTGGAATCAAATGACTGCCTGGATTCAAATCTTAGTTTTGTCATTAGCTGTATGAGTATGTGACTCAGTTAGTTACACTCTCTATGCGTCACTGCCTCTGTAGAAAGAAGGTAGTAATAGTACCTAGTATTGCTGTGAGGGAGGGTTGTTGGGAAGGCTAAAATGTTATGTCTTTCCACATAGTATGTGATAAAGAAATGCTAGTTGATGATATTTTTAGTGATAGTGGTAGTGGTGGTGGTGGTTGCATGTCGTCAAGTTGGTTCCAACTCATAGAGACCCTGTATAGAGTTTCTGAGGCACTAAATCTGTACTGGAGCAGAAAGATTCATTTTTCTTCTGCGGAGCAACTGGCAGATTCAAACTGCTGACCTTGTGGTTAGCAGCTCAACGTGTAATCCACTACATGGTGGTGGGGTGGTGGGCCACCGAATTGGTTCCGACTCACAGAGACCCTCTGTAGGGTTTCTGAGGCTGTAAAAGCAGAAAGCCTCATCTTTCTTCCACAGAGCACATGGTAGATTTGAACTGCTTTCTTTGTAGTTCGCAGCCCAGCTTGTAATCTACTACACTACCAGGGCTCCTTTAGTAATACTTGCTGTTGTTAAGTGCCGTCGAGTTGGTTCTGATGCATATAGCAACCCTGTTTAGGATTTCTAAGGAGTGACTGGTGGATTTGAACCGCCAATCTTGCAGTTCCAACGGACCTTGAAGTCCCGTGAATTATCCTGCAGCACCGTACCAGGACACCTTAATAGTAATAGTAATAATGTTAGTGAAATATTCTAGGAAAGAAATGTTTGTGAGTAATAGGAAGGCACACACTGAGGAAAAAGAAAGTGGAGTGATAAACTGTCAATAATAATAATGTTGTTACGTGCCATCGAGTCGGTTCCTACTCATAGCGACCCTTCATAGCGTTTCCAAGGAGCGGCTGGTGAGTTTGAACCACTGGCCTTGGAGTTCAAGCCAACCTTGTGGCCCAGAGCATTATCCTGAAGCACCATACCAGGACTTCAAATACCCAGTGGTAAAGCATATCATAAGAAGCCCTGCTTGACTGCTAACTGAAAGGTTAGCAAGTTTGTACCCACCAGTTGCTCCAAGGGAGAACTATGTGGCAGTCTGCTTCTATAAAGACTGTTATTTAGTGCTGTTGAGTTGCTTTCAACTCTTAGTGGCCCTGTGTAGGGTTTCTGAGGCTGTATATCTTTGTGGGATCAGAAAGCCTCATCTTTCTCCCACAGAGTGGATCGGCTCATGGGCTCAAACCACCAATCTTGTTTGATGTCTAGTGTTTCTCGTACAGAGCCACTGTGCTCCCCTCCTTAAAGATTGTAGCCTGGGAAGTCAAATGGGGCAGTTCTACTCTGACCCATGGGGTTACTGTGAGTCCAACTGACTCCCCAGTGGTGGGTAAAGAGTATCGTTTATAGCAAATAAAGCAGCCAGGTAAGCTTTTCTTAGGGCTATCAGTAAAACTGTAAGTTTTCCTTCATGCTATGATATCTCTTAAAGGTATTTAGAAGATTAAATAAAATATAAACATCTCATACAAAAGCTTCCTGGATTGCATAATAATAGCAAAACAAAACAAAACAAAAACCACTGCTATTGAGTTGATTCTAACTCACAGTGACCGTGTATAGAGTTTATTGTTGTTGTTAAGTACTGTGTAGTCAGTCGGTTCTGACTCATAGTGACCCTGCATGGGGTTTCCAAGACTGCAGATCTTTACGGGAGCAGAAAGCCTCATCTTTCTCCCGCGAAACAGCTGGTAGTTTCGAACTGCTGACCTTGAGGTTAGCAGCCTGATTCGTAACCAATAGAGTTTGTAGAGACTGAAAATCTCTACAGGAGCAGAAAGCCTCATCTTTTTGCCAAGGAGCAGCTAGTGGACTAGCTACTATCCTATAATTGTTATTGTTAATGCTGCCAAGTTGGTTCCGACTCATAGTGACCCTGTATAGTGTTTCTGAGGAGTGGCTGGTGAATTTGAGCTGCCGCCCTTGTAGTCTAGTGCATTATCTCACAGGGCCACACCAGCTGTTGGGAAGAAGACTGCTCCGAGGCCTGCGTTCATTCTTGAGGGCTGTCATATGTCCTAAGTCTGTCTGACTTCACCGGACAGGAAGTACAATGTGCCTTCTAGGGTTGCTCAGTAAATGACAACATGGGGAATCTGAACATTTTTGGAAGCTACATAAGTTTATTCTGCTAAAGTTATTTGTATCTATTGAAAACATTTGTAGAATATTTTACTTTTGGCTGAGGCAGATTCTAGTGAGCAGTTTTTAAACAGGTGAATGATTTTTTTGTTGTAATATTATAATAAACTATTTAATCACTTCTTACACTTGGTGCTGTGGCATTTTTACTTATTTTAACTTAATGGCAATTGTACAGTTTGGGATAATATTCTCCTTGCCATTTTGTTGTGAACATGCTCATTTAAAAAAAACCTATTTGTTTATATTATAAGAAGGATTCTAGGAAATGATGAAACAGTTGACAGAAGCCAGCTAATTTATGTTTAATGATTTTTTAGGATGGTTATTCTGTTACTTGTTTGCAGAGTTTAAATTTTCTTTTGCTGTTTAGTTTGTTTGTTTCGCTTATTCTGCCCTCACTACGCCCCACTGCCATTGAGTTGATTTTGACGCATTGAAACCCTGTACAGGGTTTCTGAGACTGTAAACTTCATGGGCACAAACAGCCTCATTCTTTCTCCTCCATTGTGTTGCTTGGAAGACATTACTACTCCTACAGAGCCTAGTTTCCAAGCAGTAAATGTGTAATCTGGCATTAAGTTCTATTTCCTGCTCAAGACCATTCCTAGTTCTGCGTGATGTACTCAGTGCTACCCATTGTCACAAGCTCTTGGCTTGACCACTTTTCCCTCGAGGCAGTGTAGTTTGAAGAGCAGTGGGAAGCCTGCTGTACTGTATTTTCGGTTAGTGGTTTAAGTCATGGTTTTAATGAAGTAAGGTGTGTGTCACAGTTGGGCTGCTGTTTTGATTGCAGCCCCATGTCCAGCCTGTCACCTTACATGTGTGAGCAGATAATAAGCGACAATGTGAACTCATCCATGGAAATCTTTGACCAGTCTTGGAAAAACAAGTGCACATAGACCATACTATGGCTTTTGTATTAATGTCATCTTTACATGTGAGGAACCAAATGTTTTTAATCTTTTAAAGGATTAATTTATGATATTGCTATTTATACTTACCTTTATTTATTTCTCTTTGTCATTAGGGGCTCCGTCTGTAATGTGTTGTTAACTTCATGCCATGATGGTGTCTGCCGGCTCTGGGCAGAAACCTTACTACCAGAAGACTTTCTTTTGGGGGAGCAGATCTGTGAGACTACCACTTCCAGCATTGCCAGCAATCTTTCTCATGCTGGGATACACAAAGACAGAATACAGCATGCTCTCGAGGTACTACATTATCTAAGCTGGTAAATGAATGTAGATCTGTGAATCCAGTAGAAATTCAGAAGTGAAGATGCACATGGTACACATGGTGCATGTAATGATTAAAGTAATAGCAATAGCTTTCCCTTCATTTCCTGCTTGTAAGACTACTCATTTTACCAAAGGCAGGTCGTAACTGCTGCAGTTACGTAGTCTGGATACTTAATATCATTTGAACACTTTCATTTCATCAAATATGAACGAACACTTATAGAGTAAGTACGTTTGAATAATGAAACTTGTAAGTCCTTAAAATCAATGTGAATAAATTTTTTCACTTTTCAAAATGAGAATTAAAATTTGCTTGTTTTGTTCTGATTAACAGTGACTATTTTTAAGAGTAGGGTGTTGTTTATTGCAAGATAATTAAGATGGCAGCTTTGTACTTTTGATGGTTTAATATTATGAAAGTGAAAATTTTCTTCCAATTTTACTATATAGTATAACACAACAGTGCTTTCTGCCTGAGAAATTAGATTGCTTATAGTTAGTATGAACTGTTGTCTCCGGCTGTGATTAAGAAATAAAATGAGGTATACACATTGTTAAAATGATCAGAAATGTATTATATTAAGCTTGTTGTTGTTCAGTACTATTGAGTCAGATTCCCAAGGTGTGTCTGGTGGGTTTGAACCCCCAACTTTGTGGTTAGCAGTCCATTGTTTATCCTTGTGTAATAAAAATAACCCCAAGAAAAGTTAAGGCAATTAGTTATATTAAACTTAGATTACTAGTTTTTTAAATTTCTCTTGGGACTATTTTTATTATACAAGGATTATATATTTATTCTAAACTTATATTAGGAAATAGAAAAAATATGGAACATATAATCCAACTATTCTAGTCATGTATGTATGTGTGTTTTTCTTTCTATTTTGTAAGATTGAGATCATATGCTTTTAATTTAATAATATAATAATCTATAGTGGCATTGTAAGATAAGCACTAGACTGCAAGATTGGTTTGAACCCCAAGCCGCTCCTTAGAAAACCCTATATAAGGTTGCTATGAGTCAGAAAGGACTCAACTGCATTTAACAACAACAACAACAGCAACAACATGATAGACTAAGTGTGTGATCCTTCAGTGTTATATAAGGTAGGCCTGATCTGATACTGTTTGTAATTGGGCACTATTACTATTTATATGCTTTTTCAAAACTCAAAGCATAAATTAAGTTAAAAGTAGCAACAAGAACAGTTATAGTTTGTTTTATGTTGTGGAAGTTTGATTGGGGAGTCCATCTCTAATATCCTTTTAACCCTATCAACAAATAAAAGGCTACTGTGCAACAAGGCGACCAGAGGCAGGGGACACATCAAATAATTGGTAACTGTTTTTCATGTGTAAAGAGGTACCCCAAAACCACTGCTGTCATTGAGTTGATGGTGCTGTAGGATAAGCCCTGGACCAAACTCAACAGCTGCTTCTCGGAAACTCTATATACAAAGTCATGATGAGTTGGAACCGACTCACCAGCACTTAACAGTAACAACAACAACATAGGCTAGAGGAGGGGTTTCCAATGCTGTACATCTTTATGGAAACAGACTGACTGTCTTGGTGGGTTCAAACCCTTTAGCCACTGTGCCACCAGGGGTCTTATGAAGAGAGAAAGGCTGTGGAAATTGAAAGAAAGGACCAGATATGCTATTTTAATGGAGAAAGAACTGGTAGGACTTAGTAGTAAATTGAATCTATTTATCTCTTGCAGAGTTTAGCATTATACCAGCATTGTGCTACACTCTGGTGGTGTAGTGTTTACAAGTTGGGCTGCTAGTCTAATTGTCAGCAGTTCAAAACTACCAGTGGTTCCATGGGAGAAAGATGAGGCTTTCTGCTCCCTTAAAAATTTACAACCTCGGAAACCCCATAAGGGCTGTTATCAGTTGGAACTGACTCCACAGCACATAACCACCACCACCATGCTAAACTTTATTTAATTGAATGTGGAGAACAAAGGAAAAGAATGGGAATTTTTTATAAAGCATGGGGACAAGGATAGGTTGGGTGACAGAAAAGGAAATACTGTGAGATAGGATGTTGTTGTTGTTGTTAAGTGCCGTCGAGTCGGTTCCGACCCATAGCGACCCTGTACAGGGTTTCATAATGATGTGGAAAAAGATCATGCCAAGAGTGGCCTGGCTCAGGGACCAGAATGGGCCTAATCATCTGGCCCAAGACATAAATGCAAACATGCATGTCTACTTCATAATTAATCAAAATAAACACTTAGACACAAAAGTTTTTAAATCATTAAAGAATAAGACAATAAACCCAGGACAGAAATAATAGATGCAACAAAAACACACATTTCATAATGCTTCAATTGGTCTGGGCTTCCAGTCTACTAGTTAAGGCCTGAGTTTCGGGAATCCTACCGTCCTCGCCAACTGGAAACATCTAGTCTACCTGTACCTAGTACAGGTCCATGTAACAACTATTTCTGTTTCAATATAAAGAGTGGAGAGCTTTGGTCATATAAACATATCGCAATTTAAACAAATCCCATAGGTCAATACTTTGATGGGTTCTTTCCTGTCTATTTATCTAAATTGGTTCCCTTGTTACTCTGTATTTTTGTACCCTGTTTTCTTCTTTATAATAGAGATTATATATTTGACTATTTAGCTGTTTACTTTTAAATGAGAATTTGGGGAGGAAATACTTTTTTTCCCATTAGGAATTCTCTCCCCCACCCCCCGCCCCCACCCCTTTTCTATCTCTTTATACTTTCGTGATCAGTAAGTGACTTCTCATTACTGGGGTATCTTGAAAAACAAAGAGACAAACTGGCCTTTGGACTTCCAAACATTAACAGGGGTTTGTGAACTACAAGATTCACAAGAACTATGGAGAATATTTTCCAGCATTGTTCTGCTGAATTTGAGAAAGTTTCTTTTCAAATGGTTAGGTTTTATAGAGAAGGAAATCTTAAAATCCTTAATAAAAGAAAGTACTTTGGTTGGTATTTACTGGACCTCTCAGAGTTGGATTCAGCAATTATGTTTTATTATAGACAATACACCACTTGAAAAATTTAAGAAAAGGACAGAGAAGATCTTCCATTCTTGTAACTCACACTGAATTAATGCCTGACCAGATTGGAACGCATGAAGTTCAAAGACACATTTCCCACCATGCAAATGCACTGTGCCATTTTCACATTGCGGCAAGCATCAACCCTGCCACAGGTAAAAGATGGCAAAATTTTATTTTGTATGAGTGTATTGTTAACATTTGTCACATATGCTTCTATTCTTGTACCTCTGCTCCCTTCTCCTGTGTTTTTTGGCAGAGCCATTTGAAAGTACTTTCCACCCCTAAGTATATCAGACTTTATCTTAGAAGAAAAAGGAATTTGCTTAAATAACCATTTAACATTGATGTAATGATATCATCTAAGATATAGTCCATACTGAAATATAGGGGTTTTGTTTGTTTGTTTGTCTTTTAATGGATCTGGGATCCAGTCCAAGATTAAACATTGCATTTGGTTTTCATTTCTCTTTTAATCTCCTCAAATCAAGAACAGTTGCTCTGTATTTTTTTGTTTGTTTGTTGCTTAGACCGTCTTGAAGTAAGAATGTTCATGATTAGATTAAGGTTAAATATTTTTAGCAAGAATACTATACAGGCAAATTAGTGTTTTATAGGATTGCTAATATACAAATCCAATTTTATAAAATTTGTTTTATTTTTATCAAAATATCAGGACTATCATTCAGGAATTTGAAAGAAAGAACAATTTAGAACTTTATCTAATAATGTGTTGCTTTGCTATTTTTTAAAATGTCGTCGAGTTGATTCTAACTCATGGTGACCCTGTATAGGACTCCTGAGGCTTTAAGTCTTCACAGGAGTAGAAAGCTTCATTTTTTCCCCATGAAGTGGCTCGTGGGCTCGAACCATGGACCTTGTGGTTCACAGTCTAGTACTTAGCGTATGGAGCCACCGTACTCCCTGATCTAACAATGTTGCTGTTGTTAAGTGCCGGTGAGTCGCTTCTGACCCATAGCGACCCTACATAGGGTTTCTGAGGAGTGACTAGTGAGCTTGAACCACCGACCTTTGCAGTCCAGCCCATTAACGCATAATACCACACCAGGACTCCCGATCTAACAATAATGTAACACTAAGTAGAACACTTAGAATATCCTGTGCATTTTATCCTTAGACTTAAACTTCTTTTTGTAGAGGATACTGTTTTGTTTTTCTTTCTGTTGAATTAATTATTTATAATACAGATTGGCATTAAAGAGATTAATTTTGAATTATACTATTGTATATGAAATAGTCTACATCACCAATTTTAGTCACCCCAAATGTAGAAATGCGGCTATATTTAGAAGTTTACCAACCTGCTTTCATGGAATTATTTTCTTTATACTTTTTAATTAGGAAAGTATTAAACATTCAAAAAAGTTGAAAGAATAGTGCAGTGAATACTTTCACTTTACCCATTTATAGTCAATAATTGTTAACATTCTGCCATGTTACTTATTTTTTGTCCTTCTGTATACATATATTTAAACAACTTTTGAAAATTAATTGCAGATATCATGATACTTCACACTCACCTCACATACTTTAAGAAGTATCTTCTAAGAATAAGGGAATTCTTAGTTAGGAGAATGATAATCACACTCTCATTCTCCTAAGGAAAGTAGAAGTAATTACATAATATCTATATATTTAAATGTCTATGTTGTTAAGTTCTGTCGGGTTGGTTCCAACTCATGGCAACCCTGTATAGGATTCCCAAGGAGCAACTGATGGGTTTGTTTGTTGCTCCAACCTAGCTGTGTAGTGCTTATCCTGCAGTGCCAAAAAAATGTTCCACATAGCTGCTTTTCTGCTTTGTCTTCCTGTCACCTCTGCCCCCAAACAGGGTTCAATCAAGGTTCATGCATTGCATTTGGTGTGTTTGTTTTTAATATGAGTAATGGGATTTCATAAAAGTTTTATTCTATTCTTTACATTTACTATTAATTTTATAAAATGAAAGTGCCATTTTGTGTATATGCAGACTGTCTTTTAAGAATTTGTAAATGTTTTTAGAGAAATTCAATATTCATATTGAATTCTTACTTTTTTTTGTTTCCACAGATATTCCAAATGTCTTGGCTGGTACTGCATTTAATGTTGATGATGGAAATGGGGGCTTTGTAGTTCATTGGTTAAACAACAAGGAATTTCATTTTACATCATCCACTGAAATATTTATGCAGCAATTACGAAAAATTTCTGAAAAACAGACAGATCATGAGAGCGATGATGTGGACAGAGAGGATGAGGAACATCCTATGGAGGAGAGAGAGAGGGGCTTACATATGAAACTAGACCATGGTTAGTATCCTGTATGGAGAGTTTGCTTTCTTTAAAGTTATCAACCTTTTGGGATACCATCTTAGGTTGGAATCCCTCCTTCCTACTTTCCCTCCTTCCATTCATTCCACAAACATTACTGACCCTCTGTCATGGACCAGGCACTTTGCTAGGTCCTGAAAACATCATCTAATTTTGTATAGACAATTTTTTGTATAAAGTATTACTATTAAAGTCATATCTTTTCATGGGGAATAGTTTTACTCATGGTAATAAGAGTAATAGTGTGAATGATGTGTGATTTATTGGTAAGCAAGAAATACAGTAATATTCAATTCAGAATATGAAATTGCTTCCTTCTCTCTTTTTTTTTTTTCATTGTAAATTGTAAAAGGGATTTACTGCTTCTCAAGATACTATTGCCATTTATTATAGTTTAGTACATATATGAAATACTGTAGTCCTATTAAGTGTGTGTTGATAAGTTTGTTTTCTGGTTCAGAATTATCCCTGGATAGAGAATCGGAGGCAGGTACAGGATCATCAGAACATGAAGATGGAGAACGAGAGGGAAGTCCTAGAACGTACTTGAGACATCGAGTACCAATGCCGTTGCCTACAGTCCTGCTTGATCGGAAGATTGAAACGCTGCTAACTGAATGGAATAAGAATCCTGACATGCTTTTTACAATACACCCTGTAGATGGTACTTTTCTGGTGTGGCACATAAAGTATTTGGATGAATATAATCCTGGAATATTTAGACAAGTTCAGGTATGTATTACTGATGAAGTTGTTATATTTCTTTCCCTTTTTTTCACAATTTATGTAGACTTAGCAGGTTTTCAGAATGACTAAGGTTGTTAAATTTTTTTTTTTTTTTTTAAAGCAAATGAGAATGCTTGCTACCATTGGTGATCCATGACCATAAATTTACAAGCCTGGTTAATAAAAAGAAATTAATTTGACTTTGAAATGTAATACTGAATATTTGAAATATGAGTGTGTTGATTTTTCTGGGAATTCACAATTTTATGAATGAAAGTAAGACATTACCCTGAAAATGTGAATCAAGGATGAGCTTGTTCTTACCCTGCTTTTATCCCCTGAATCAAGCTGCCTTTCTTTGTTATCTTTCTCAATTTTATTTCTATCTAGATCTGTGTATTTTGATGTACAAGCCAGGCACTTGAAACACTTTTCCCATCAGTCTTCTGTGAAGCTATGAATAGAGATATGATGTTACATAAATAGAGGCAAGGGATTAGACCATGAAGATATTGAAAATGTTTTTTTCTCTTTTTTGGCTAGGAAACTGATATTTGGCATTTTGAAAATAGAAGTGTTTTGGAAGACTATTTTGAGAGGATGCAAGCTACTTGTACTGAATCATATAACTATGTTTCTTTCAGGTTTCTTTTTCTTCTCGGATTCCAGTTGCATTTCCCTCTGGTGATGCAAGCTCTCTTAGCAAAAATATTATGATGTATGCCTGCGTCAGTGCTACGAAAGATTCTCACCACTCCCTGTCACACCAGGAGACGGTGGCTGGAGGCAGTCCTCAAGGATCACACCCACACTCTGGACCACACAGCCCAAATTTAAACATTTTAGCTCCTACGGTAATGATGGTCTCTAAACACATCGATGGTTCTTTAAATCAATGGGCAGTCACTTTTGCTGACAAGTCTGCCTTTACCACTGTTTTAACTGTATCTCACAAATTTCGATACTGTGGTCATCGATTTCACCTCAACGATCTGGCGTGTCATTCAGTGTTACCACTGTTGTTGACGTCGTCTCATCATAATGCTCTCTTGACTCCGGAATCAGATTCAGACAGTAAATTCAACAGATTAGCGGAGCCTATAAAACACATGAAAAGTTCCTCAAAGCAACCCCTTAGGAATGCAGCAACGTGTACATTTCATGACCCCAATGCAATCTACAGTGAGCTTATTCTGTGGCGTGTAGACCCAATAGGACCTTTATCATATACTGGAGGAGTTTCAGAATTGGCACGAATTAACTCTTTACATACCTCAGCCTTCTCAAATGTGGCCTGGCTTCCAACTCTTATTCCCAGCTATTGTCTTGGTAAGTGTTCATTTTATCTGTGAAATGAATAAAAACACTGTATGGGGATAGAAAGCCTTACCTTTCTTCCTCAAAGTGGCAGGTGAATTTGAACTGCTGACCTCGCAGTTAGCAGCCTAACACATAACCCACTATGCCACCAGCACTCCTGATTAATCAATCATTTTATATACATTCATTTTATCTATTTTTTAAAAACAATTCTGGACCATGACCAAAAAAGACCAGTAAGACTATTTCTTTCTCATACTTCAACCAGTGATAAGAATAAAGTGCACATTATAATGAGAAACTTTTATTTTGCTTTCTCAGGCACATACTGCAATTCTGCAAGTGCTTGCTTTGTTGCTTCTGATGGCAAAAATCTGCGACTCTATCAGGCTGTGGTCGATGCAAGGAAATTACTGGATGAACTGTCAGATCCAGAGGCTTCGGTATGCTTTTCCCAATCTTTATTAACATATCCAGACTGATAAAGAATTCTCTCTTCTGTCTTTGTTAGTTGGTGGTTAGGGAATGAGCGTATATTCTGTGTATGTAACATGCATACATATATACACATTTGTATGGGTGGGTGTTTTTTTCCTTCCTTCCTTCCTTCCTTCCTTCCTTCCTTCCTTCCTTCACTTGAGGGGCGGGGATGCCATAGTCATCAAAAAAATAACATTCATTATATGCATAAGATTCAGTACATGTGACACATTCATTTTTGTTAATTTGTGTTCTATGGTATATGAATTAAAAATGCAGTTTTACAAATCACATTAATACATTGTATTTATGAAAAAATAAATTTGGTGTCTTTCCCTAAAATACCATTATTTATTCTTGACTTACTTCATACCTTAGTTCAGTTCTCTTAATCTTATATTGCTTAAAAAATGTTTTAAGGCAACTTTACTGAAATACGTGTTAAAGTTGGGAAAATTGAATTTTTCACAGCTCAATTCACCATTAAAAAAAAAAAAAATCTCTGTGTTCAGAAAATGACCTCAGTGGATGACCTCATTCTGGTAGTTCTGGGTCGGAATTGGAAATCATGTGTACTAGGTAATATAGAGATAAGAACAGTGAATTTTCCAAATACACATAAAAACATGAATGTATAAAACAACTGTCTAATAATGTTTTCAGTAGTGAAGACTCAAAAATATTTTTAACTACCAGCTGTTCCTTGGGAGAAAGATGAGACTTTCTGCTCCCGTAAAGAGTTACAGCCTCGGAAATCCTGTACAGGGTCATTATGAGTTGGAACCAACTCCACGGCATATAACAACAACAACTATATCCCATATGAGTAAAGTTTTACTAAAGGTATACAGAAATGACTACAACAGTACATTGGCAGAGAACTTCCAGAGGCTCAAGCTGGATTTTGAAGAGGACATACAATGAGGGATATCATTGCTAATGTTTGATGGATCTTGACTGAAAGCACAGAATACCAGAAAGATGTTTACCAGTGCTTTTCTGACTGTGCAAAGGCTTTTGATTGTGTGGATCATGACAAGCTATGGACAACATTGCGAAGTATGAGTATTCTGGAATACTTAATTGTGCTCATGAGGAATCTGTACATGGACCAAGAGGCAGTTGTTTGAACAGAACATGGGAGCACTGAATGATTTAAAATTAAGAGAGGTGTGTGACAGGGTTGTATTCTTTCACCATACTTATTCAACCTGTATGCTGAACAAATAATCCAAGATGCTAGGTTATATGAAGAAAAACATGGCCTCAGGATTGGAAGAAGACTCATTAACAACCTGCGATATGCAGATGATACAATCTTGCTTGCTGAAAGTGAAGAGGACTTAAAATATTTACTGATGAAGATCAAAGAACACAGCCTTCGGTATGCATTGCATTTCAATGTAAAGAAAACAAAAATCCTCACCACTGGACCAATAAACAACATTCTTATCAACGGAGAAAAGATTGAAGTTTTCAAGGACTTCATTCTTCTTGGATCAACTATCAACACTTATGAAAGCAGCAGTCAAGAAATCAAACGACGTATTGCATTAGGCAAATCTGCTGCACAAGACCTTTTTAAAGTGTTGAAGAGCAAAGATGTCAGTTTGAGGACTAAGGTGCGCCTGACCCAAGCCATGGTATTTTCAATAACCTCATATGCATGTGAAAGCTGGACAGTGAATAAGGAAGATCGTAGAAGAATTGATGCCTTTGAATTGTGGTGTTGGAGGAGAATACTGAAAGTGCCATGGACTGCCAAAATAACCAACAGATCTGTGTTGGAAGAAGAGCAGCCAGAGTGCTCCTTGGAGGCCAAGATGGCCAGACTCCGTCTCTCATACTTCGGACGTAGTATCAGGAGGGACCAGTCTCTGGAGAAAGATATCATGTTTGGAAAGGTGGAGGGTCAGAGAAAAAGAGGAAAACCCCCAGCGAGATGGATTGGCAGAGTGGCAGCATCAATGGGCTCAAGCGTGGCAACAATTGTGAGGCTGGCCCCGGACCAGGCATTGTTTCATTCTGTTGTGCATAGGGTTGCTATGAGTCAGTACTGACTCAATGGCACTTAACAACAACAACTATAATGCCTCTAGTTAGTTATGTTGTTGTTGTTAAGTGCCACAGAGTCAGTTTAACTCATGGCAACCCTGTACAGGGTTTTTGAGGAGCAGCTAGTGGGTTTGAACCATCGACCTTGTGGTTTGCAGTCCAGTGCTCATCCTGCAGTGCCATGCCAGGAGACCAGTTAGTTATGTTCTTGTTGTTGTTAAGTGCCACTGAGTCGGTTTTGACTCACCCCTTTTTGTACAAGGAGTGGCTTTTGTACAAATGTTTCCAAGGAGTGGCTGGTGAGTTTTAATTGCTAACCTTTTGGTTCAAATCAACCTTGAAGTCCAGTGCTTCAAGAAAGTATAAAAAAGCAGGTTTCAGCTTCTGTCTTTAATGAGGTTTTAATTTAGTCAAGATAAATTATTAGTAAAAAGTTAAATAACAGTTTAAGAGAGAAGAGGAAGTGTCTGTGTGAACTATGTTACTAGTTACTAAAAAGATGGCACAAGAATATTTCATAATCAAGAAAGTGAAGGGTGTGCGAAGGCGTATGTTGATCAGATTAGGGTAGACATAGAGCTCTTGATTAGGCTAGTATTTGGGTTGATTCTTGATGGATGGATAGGAAGTAGAAAGACATAGAGGCCAGCTTGGCCCGAGCAAGAGAATAGCTTGAGTGAACACAGAAAAATCCAGATATAGACATACCTTGGAGACCCTCCAGGTTCAGTTCCACACTCTGCCGTAGAAAGCAAATGTCACAGTAAAGGCAATCACATGAAGTTTTTGTTTCGTAGTGCATATAAAGGGAAGCACAGTACCACTGGACTTGAACAAGGTCAGCAGTTCAAGTCCACCAGCCAATTCATGGGAGAAAGATGAGGCTCTCTGTTACCACAGATTTTTTATAGCCTCAGAAAGCTGATACAGGGTTGGTATGAGTTGGAACCTACTCGACAGCACTTAACAGCAACAACAGTGCATATAAAAGATATATTTATTCTATGCTGTAGTTTATTAGGACTCCTGTAGGCTAAGGACTAGACAGCTAACCACAGGGTAGCATTTCAAACCCACCAGCTGCTCCTTGGAAACCTTGTGCGGTGTTGCTATGAGTCAGAACTGAGTCAACAGCATTTAACAACTAGTCTATTTCATGTGCAATAGCTTATGAAAAAGTTTGAAATATTGTGAGAATTACCAAAATGTGAGACAAAGTGAGCACTTGCCGGTGGAAAAATGTTCTGATATACTTGCTCAGAGCAGGATTGCTCAAGATCTTTCATTTGTAGCACAGTAAAAACCCTGTAGTATTTGCAAAGTGCTCTGGAACTAGCACTTGCATAAAGCTTGCTCCAGAGACAGTGAGAAAACCAGTTAGACTGAAGCTGAAGGTCTGCTATAGAGAAAATCTAGAAAAGGAGCATTCTAGAATTACAGAGTTTTAAGATACTTTAAAGGTTACCTAGTCTAACCTTTAAAGTATCAGCACTGGAGGAAGACTCATTAACAACCTGCTATATGCAGATGATACAACCTTGATCGCTGAAAGTGAAGAGGACTTGAAACATTTACTTATGAAGATCAAAGAGCACAGTCTTT